AGGTGAGCATCGACCTATGAACCAGAAGGTCACAGTTCAATTCCCAGCCAGGGCCCATGCCCGGGTTGCAGGTTTGATCCCCAGTGTGGGCAGTGCAGAAGGCAGCCAATCAGTGATTCTCTCTCATCACTGCTATTTCTATCTCTCTCTCCCTCTCCCTTCCTCTATGAAGTCAATAAAAATATATTATTTTAAAAATATGTTTGAGATCATTGAATTATAATTATATAGAATTTGGGGCCCATTATCAACAGTTTATCTTTTATTTGGGAGACAAGAATAAAGCTCCAGAACTTTTTCATCTTGCAAAACTGAAGCTCTGTACCCACTCAATGCCAACTCCCATATTCCTTCTCCCAGCACCTGGTAACCACATTCGACTTTCTACAAGTCTGACTCCTTTATTTTTTAAATATGTTTTTATTGATGTCAGATAGGAAGGAAGAAGGAGAGAGAGATAGAAACATCAATGATGAGAGAGAATCATTGATCGGCTGTTTCTTGCACACCCCCTACTGGGGATCGAGCCCACAACCCAGGCATGTGCCCTTGGCCGGAATCGAACCTGGGACCCTTCAGTCCGCAGGCTGATGCTCTACCCACTGAGCCAAGTGGCTAGGGCCCTAGCACATATTTTTAAAATATCAAATTATAATTGGTTAGATATCAGAATAATTAAATATTGAAGCTGTTTACTAAGAAAGTATGTTAATTTGTAAATGAAAATTTGAATTTCAAAAGCTAATCATTAACAGAAGTTATTTCTCTAGTAATTTCAATTTTCTTTTTTAAAAGTGATAATCTAAGAAACTTGTTTAATTTTTAGCCTAATGTCAAATATAGAATAGAAAACACAAATGACCTATTATATAGAAGTACTTGAGCATTCTATACTGTTATCTACAACCACTTAGTTACTTCATAAAGCTTAATAACTACTTTTTGTTTCAGGACCTATAGTCCTTAGCCCAACCATTAGAAAACCCCATGTTCAATCCAGGTCTATGACTAAAGAAAATGAACTATGTGCCTTCTTGGTTTGCCATTTCTTGTCTATTTTAAATGTCAATTATATAAAGTATCTGTATTAAAAGAGATTACTTGGACATTTTGTCACTGGGAATATTGAATACTAGAAGTTGTGATTGCTTTTCTTTATTTTTATTGATTTTATATATTTTTTTTTATTGATTTCAGAGAGGAAGGGAGAGGTAGAGAGAGAGAAATATCAATGATGAGAGAGAATCATTGGTTGGCTGCCTCCTGCATGCCCCCCACTGGGGGTTGAGCCCAGCCCACAACCTGGGCCTGTGCCTTGACCAGGAATTGAACAATGACCT